TGGTGGCGCAGGGCCGGCGGGCGAGCGTGGAGGTGAGCGGGGCGAGCGGCGCGCTGGTGCTGAGCTCGCGGCTGGACCGGGAGGAGCTGTGCGGCAAGAGCGCGCCGTGCGCGCTGCGCCTGGAGGTGCTGGTGGAGCGGCCGCTGCGCGTGTTCCATGTGGAGCTGGAGGTCACCGACATCAACGACAATGCCCCCGTCTTCCCCGCCGCACGAAAAAACCTCAGCATCGCGGAGAACTCCCCGCCTGGGTTCCGTATCCCACTGGAGGGCGCATCGGATGCGGATATCGGAGCGAACGCTCAGCTCACCTATACACTCAGTCCGAGCGAGCACTTCTCTCTGGAATTAGAAAAAATCGAGGAGGATGTTGAGTCTTTATTTCTGGTGCTCAGAAAGCCGCTGGACCGGGAGACGATTCCAGTACACCGGTTGGTGCTGACAGCGAGTGACGGGGGCCGGCCGTTTCTGACAGGGACCATGGAACTCGTGATCACGGTGCTGGATGTGAACGACAACGTGCCCCAGTTCAACCTATCAGTGTATAAAGTGCAGCTGCCAGAAAACGCAGAACGCAGTACTTTGGTGATCAGACTAAATGCCACAGATTTGGATGAGGGGTCGAACAGCGATATCTCCTATTCACTCCAGATCCTGTCCCCGCAGGATGGAAGAGACATTTTCGGAATTGACAAAAACAGTGGAGAGATCCGCCTTAAGGGCGACTTAGACTTTGAGGATGTCAGTCTCTATCACCTGCAAGTGGATGCGACAGATAAGGGGACACCCCCGCTGTCGGGTCACTGCAAGGTGGTGCTGGAGGTGCTGGACGTGAACGACAACGCGCCGGAGGTGTGGGTGACGTCGCTGTCGGTGCCGGTGCCGGAGGACGCGTCGTTGGGGACGGTGGTGGCCCTGCTGAGCGTGTCGGACCGGGACTCGGGGGCGAACGGTCGCGTGCGGTGCTGGGTGTGGCCGGCGTCGCCGTTCGGTCTGGAGGCGACGTTCGCGGGCTCGTACTCGCTGGTGCTGCGCGAGGCGCTGGACCGGGAGCGGGTGTCGGAGTACGAGGTGGAGGTGCGTGCGGAGGACGGCGGGGCGCCGTC